ACGTGTGCTCTTCCGATCTGTGGGATTATGAGCTTTCTTTAAGTGCGTAGTTTGATTTATTATCTCTTTTTCTGTTTATCATCTGTTTATCACTTTTTAATTATGTGCCATTCCTATCCTATCTTATTATATAAAAAATGTGTTAAAAAACATTCAAAAACATATGTATATTATTATGTATTCTTATTAACAAAATATAAAACATTAAATATAGTTTTATAAATTTAAGAGACATATTTTTTCAAAAAATAAGTTGAATAAAAATTTAATATCCATAAGATTTATAAAGTAATTCTTATCGAAAGAATTCAAGTAATTCTTATCGAAAGAATTCAAATCTATCTGTCATCGTTTAACATTGTTCAGTCACTTAAAATCATTTCGTTCAATTTCAGTGACAGCACGATACTTTCTTTCATTAACGTCGCCAAAAATAATTTTTACGATACCAAAATCGGCCGCGACTTTGAAAGAAGCAGCAAAGGAATTGAAATTGGATGTAAAAATAGTAGTTCTCGGCAAGTTAGATGGATACGAGTCGATGGATGATATAATGAAAGATAACGATAGTCACCAGATTGCCGAATTCAAATGTACTCCAATCGGCAATTCTAACGAAGCTAGTTTCATTGTTTTTTCTTCAGGTACCATGGGTATGCCAAAGGCTACTGAGATCAGATATTCTAGTTTGCATTCCTGCCTGTATCCCCAAATAATCGCTAAACTGAAAAATAATGTTTTCTACATTCATTCGACATTACGATGGTATTATGGCATTGGGATGGCAGTGCAGGCTATCGTATCATATTCAACTACAATTTTAGGACCAGAAACTCTGATAGATATTGATGCCGAGTACATTTGCAAGATTGTCGAAAAATATCAAGTGAGTAAAAGTAATAACTGAAAAGTAAAATATTGAATAAAATTTAAAATCTAACGTCAGACGTGGAATTAGAATTGAAAGATGTAATAATATTACGTTTTTATGATAATCAGGTAACGTTAATTGCTACTGTTCCAAACACTTTAATCAATTTCATTAAGATGAATTTGTTAAAAAAGTATCACTTATCAACATTAAGGATTATTTTTATTTGTGGTTCTATTTTCCCAAAACAATATCAGGAAGAATTTGCAAAAAAATTACCAAATGCTTTAATCAAAAATTTTTATGGTAAGTTAACGAATTCTTAAATACAACTTAATAATCTTTTTTTCTCAAATCAATTCGGTTTTTTATTTAATTCCTTAAAATTTATTATATATTAAAATATAAATACATCTATTCTCTATCCTCTTCTAATATTCCACCTTACATTCCTTAAAATATTATGTTAATTAAATGTATGTTACAAATTACCTTTTAAAACTGTTAAAGATAATACTGATACGTTAAATCCTGATTTAGAAGAGAAATGCCTGTATTCGGACAATTTAAGAAAAAAATTTTTAATTAAATACAAAAAAATTTTAATAGATGTTCTTCGAATTATAAAAAGATCCAAAGTTTGACATCATTTTGTTGTTAACACTATGCATTAATTCGTGATAGGATCTACTGATATAGCAGGTAAACTCACTGAACAAAGTGAGCACTGTAAACCGGGATCCGTTGGTCTTCCTGAACCTAATGTTCAAATAAAAGTGATGGACACAAAAACAGAAGAAACCTTGGGAATTAATAAAGTTGGAGAAATACGTGCCAAAACGCCTACAATGATGAAAGGCTACTACAAGGATCCCGAAGCAACCAAAAATGCTTTCGATTCTAACGGTATGCAACTTGGACACTAAATTAAAATTTTCAATATTTAAGTTAGCAAGAATTGCAATAGAAAGATAATAAATAGCTAAAACGCAAATCGTTCAGGTTGGTTTCGTACTGGCGATGTGGGATATTATGATGCCAACGGAGAACTCTTCATCGTTGGTAGAATATCTGAATTTATCATCTTCAGAGGAAACAACGTTTTACCTGAGGAAATCGAAACTGTTTTACAGACTCATCCTGCAGTATTAAGAGCGGCAGTAATAGGAATGCCTCATGAAATCGATAATGAACATCCAATGGCTATCGTCTCTGTAGCACCAGGTAAAACGGTAGGTATCACATTTACATTTTCAATTATATTAAAGATAAAGTCAACAAAATAATAATCGCTTTTAAGTTTTACACAAGATTTATACAGAAGATATTGCATTTGTGCATTAAATGTTCC